TTTATTTTGCCTTTTAAATTTTACATCTAGGTACAATTATGCTCTGTGACAAACACGAGGAGGTGTGCAGGTGAGTGATCATCCTGAACAAAGAAAAAACAGGTTATAAACGCAAAAAACACACATGCGGAATGTAGTTTTTAAGAATGTCTTATCTGCCACGTGGCTGAATAACAAATAAGAATACTGCCTGTTAATGAGCTAATGAGACAGGATAGTATGATGAACCAGGGAGGGGGGCCCACACCCACAGACAGCACACAGACAGAACTAAACCAGGGTGAGGAAGGCAGACAGGAACACAAGGAAGGAAAAACACAAGTCACAGCAACATGCTCAACATATAATCAGTGGGAATCTTAGACTCTGGGGGCCCCAGGCAAAGAAGACCATCAGGGCCCCACTTCTCTGCACTGACCTGTATGTATGACAGTTACAGGAAGCTAACTGACTGACCTGGGGAGCCTCATCAGCAAGGACAATGGAGCAAACAAGGACATCCAAGCAAGGCTCTCCAAAGCTCGTGGGGCATTCGCAAGACTTCAGCCAATGTGGAAGTCCAGACAGTTCGACCTTAGGACCAAGATTCAGCTCTACAACAGCAATGTGAAATCTGTCCTTATGTACGGCTCAGAATGCTGCCGAGTGGTGAAAGGAGACATGAATAAAATCAGTGCCTTCCACAGTGCCTGAGAAAAATCTGCCGAATCTTCCGGCCAAACAAAATAACAACCAAGGAGCTGTACGGCAAAACAGGGTGCAGAGATGTGGTCCTTGAAATAAAACACCGGCGAGTCAGATGGCTAGGCCACGTCCTAAGAATGGACAAGGAGAGGGTACTGAAGGTAGCATTACGATGGACACCACCTGGAAAACGTAAGCCTGGGCGCCAAAGAACACCTGACTGAGAACAGTTGAAGGCAAGCTGGCAGAAATGGCGCTTAACACGTGGAGAGGCACAGAAAGTAGCACAACACTGAGATGAATGGTGTCGAGTCGTCAAAGCCTTATTTCCCACCCGGGAAGAAGAGGATTAAGTAAGTAAGTAACTGACTGTCCAAATGAATGATATCCAGCTGTCATAGAGGGGCCCCACTGAGGGGGTTCTGGGGGCAGTGGCGGTGCACCTGTAGCGCCTTTATGGGAGGTTTAAGGGGTTTATAGTCATTGGAAAATGTGCCAGTGTGAGTGGCACTAGGGGCCCCTTTTGCTTAATATCTTTGGGGGCCCCCAACATTTGTACACACAGTTCATACAGCGAGTGCAACTCAAAGTGCTTTACATAATAAAATAAGCAAATACAGATAAAAGACAATACAAGAGAGTAAATAAGACACAAGTTCAAATAAAAATACCGTAAAGATACCAATTAATTAAATAAAAGCTACATGAATCTTCTTCTTCTTTGGGCTGTTCCCTTCAGAGTTCTCACGTCAGTTGACTTCATGTCCTCTCTCACTACATCCATAAATCTTTGGTCTTCCTCTCGGCCTCTTGCCTGGCAGTTCCCACCTCTGCATGAGCTGTCCCTCTGACGTCCTCGTTCCTGATCTGATCCATCCTCGTCACTCCCAAAGAGAACCTCAACATCTTCATCTCTGCTGCCTCCAGCTCTGCCTCCTGTCTTCTCCTCAGTGCCACTGTCTCTGAACCAAACAACATGGCTGCTCTCACCACCGTCTTGTTCACCTGTTCCAACCTGCTTGCGCACATTTCTTCACCTCTTCTCCACTCTGGCTGTTGACCCTCAGTACTTAAAATCCACCTTCTTTATTTCTACTTCCTGTAACCTCACCATTCCACGTGGGTCCTTCTCCTTCACACACATGTTGTCTGTCTTGCTACGACTAACATTCATTCCTCAGCAACATGAATCACAAGTCTAAAAAGACAGGTTTTGAGATTTTGTTTGAAGCTGTCGACTGAATCAAAGAGTCTGACGTCCTCTGGAAGGCTGTTTCAGAGACGAGGGCCGATGACACATTTCAGATAAATAATCAGGAGACATTGTTTTAAGAGATTTAAACAGGAAGCTGATGAAGAGCCTTTAAAACAAGAGTAATGTTTAGTCTGTGACGTGCGGCTGCATTTTGGATCATCCAAAGTTTGTTTAGAGATTTCTTTGCAAGGCCTGAGAACAAGGCAGTCAGATCTGCTTGAGATAAAAACATTCGTCCAATGGTGAAACGTTGCCCGTGCGCCCCTGCGTTCTGACTTCTTGTGATTTAACTTGTCAGTTCAGATATAAAACACCTTTCTGCTGGGCAGTTAATTCAATAATAAAGGTTTACCTTTAAAAGACAGTATTATTCAGGAACTAATTTAAAGGTAAATAAATGTAATTTTGAGTCATTCTGAAGTTGAAGTCTTTTCGCCCGTACAGCAGGCTCGTGGTGTAAACATGGCCGCCACAGATGGGAGCAGAGAAGATGGAAAGAAAACAGAAAACCAACCAGTGCTGCAGTTCCCAAACATTCCTGATGTATCAAGATGACCTCACTGGGAATTCTCCCATAAGCTCCTGGTCCAAGCTGGACCGCTGCCATGGGAACCAGGCAAGATTTTCTTTTTTTATCCCAGAGTGCCCCTTTCTGAAACGATCCAGTGTTTCTCAACTGTCTTGTCACTTGGTCAGAGGAGATATGAAGGGCCTTCAGGTGACGTGATGTGACCTGTAGTGGGCTGAATGATGCTCCACAGATTGGGTGACTGGGTGTCTCTGATCAACAGATATCACAGCACGACACTGGTGGGGATCGTTTGACAGCAGGCATGTGGAGAGTCGGATCATGGAACTCCTCAAGTTGCAAAACAGCCGGCTGAAACTTCTGATGTGTCAGAAACCCATCAGATCGTCTGAAATCCAGATCACTGATCACGCAGCCAATTAAATGAGCTTCAAATAACACCTGATCCGGCAGAAAGTCAGCAAGATTCTAAAACTGATCAAGGGAAACAAATTTGGGGCTAAAATGGTAGAAATTGTGTCGTGTCTTCCCGGCTTTGAAGTGTTACTCACTTATGAGACCATATTATGTAACACTGCAGAGTTTGATGCATCAGCAGTCAGCATTTTTCCACAGGAAACATCGTGACAGAAATAGCACAAGTACAAAATAAACGATGGCTGAATTCCATTTATCTGCTTCAATTTCAGGGTCCTTGCATCATTCATACTGGCTCATTGTCACGCCTTCACACTGCCTCTTAGGGGTGACACAGTTGTCTCGCCTCTGAGCTGGGAACATCAACACATCCTCACTGTGACCTCGTCACATGTCCATTTTTGGTCATGGACTTTCCACGTCCACATATGTCGTCCAAGGTACCCTGGGTGTGTTGGTTGTTGACGTTCTGGGACGCCGTGTCAACTTCAGCCTGTTACATGCATTGTCTGTTTTCAAAATACACTTCTGTTTTCACATGAAATGTACAGTTTGATACAGTCTCTTTCAAAATAAATGCCGCTAATTGACTTTTTATTACTTCACAAGAAACGCACATGGTTGAGTTTAGGAAAAAAGGGTTTGGCTTTCCAATCTCACAGGAAGTGAACACCGGCCTCCTGGGTGAAAGTCAGTGGTTGTTGGAACCATACACCACCCGTCCCGTCGGCCCTACTCGGATATCCGCCGCTTTAAATTTCATTGTAATCCCACCGCGTTTCCCCCTGGCGCTACCGGGCGCTGTCAAACAATAACAGCAGCGAGTAACGTATCATGCCAATGTGAAAGGACAGCTTCTTTCATTGGCGTCTGACGCCAGAAGTCACTGACCAAGCGCTGCTTTTTGACGACTTCAGAGTGAGACCAGGTTGAGAACAGAGGCACCGAAACAATTTCTGTCTAAACGGGACAGCTAGCAGGATGGGATCACGGGCAGCTGGGGTGCGACATTTTGACAATATGTTATGTGTGTGACCCACACCGGGAGATTTAAAAAGCAGCTTGTAGCAGTTAGCAGCTAACTCAAAAGAAGAGCAGCAGTTGAAAGTGTCCACACATTGGAAAAACACTGAGGTCCAGGTGCTCCTAACTCTCTGAGCAGAGGACGATATCAACCGACATATAACAGAGATGACACAGAGATTATGTCAGTGTTTGTAGGAGACAGAATGTGTTTTTAGCCTCTCTTGCTTATTATTTGTTTCGGCTGCACATGTTCTCTTTGTCACCTTTGTTCCTGTGGTTGTAATTGGCACAGCGGTGGGCGTGGTTTCACATTATTTTCACCTCACGTAATATTTCATTTCATCTTGATTTGCTTTAGTTATTCAGTTGTTTGTTTAATAAACCACCATAAAAGTGGTTAGTCTTGGTCTTGATCCAGAGAGTCCTTTTTTATCCAGAATGCCCTCGATGATTGGCTCCCCGTCAGGGTTTGAGCCCTTTAACTTTACATTTGATTGACGTTCCCTTTAAAGAATTTCAATTTTGCAAGCCAACACTCTGGCTGTAAGCTTGACATTCTGGCTGCTATGTTGTTATTGTTCATAAAGTGCTGCCAACACGTACGTTAAATGTCTCACTGGAGGCCGACGCTGTTGACACATCCAGCATGCCTCTTTTGGTTCCACGATGTCAGCATGCTGCCTAGAATCACACACTGGAGCAGAGTGATGCTGCTGTTGTTTGGTTCTGTGTAAAAATACAAAGGCAGCGTGAATAAGGGACTTTGCAGCAGCTCTATAGCGCCATCTCTGTGTGAAAAAGAGTTGCTGTCATCGCTTACTGGGACACTTGAACAGAACGGAGCCACAGGCATTTCTACACTGCACTTAATCCGTGATTTTCCGACAATGAAAAGTCAATTATTCGTGTCCTATTCAAGCAGTGGCAACAGTCATTTATATCAAGACGGTCTTTCCAGACAACATCAGGTCATGGATCATTGCTGCATGATTTGAAAAGACAAGAGCAAGGCTCAGGTGTTCGTCTTATAGAAACAACTCTGCATTTGAACTTTTCTTTCAGAGACAAAACAAACTCCAACAGGTTCTTCATTGTTTTATCTGCAAAGCATTTATAGCATTCACATTATTGCAGTGCCAAAATAAATATAAAACTACAATACAGACGACACACAACCTCCATCCTAGATTATAAAGACTGTATTCTGTCGTGTATCCAGATGTGTTCATAACTACATTGGGAAATTACCATGATACAGTGCAGTAGAAACTCACCAGTTGTCTTCCAAACTGACTCAGGTATCAAACAAAAACAAGTCACGTATATGAGCAATTCAGACACAATTTCTAAAAAGTGGATTCGAGTAAAAATATGCTGGTGTCAAGATGAAATCTGTGCTTCACGTTCATATCCACTGATGAAGGACGAACATCTGTATCCAGTAAAACAGACACTGCGGCAGTTGGAAACCAAAACAGGTGAGACTCTTGGATATAAAGTAAAAATGATGACAAATAAAACTTACTGAACGCTAACAACAATAACAGTTTCACAAAATGACACCAGTTAAATTCCTGTTACTTCACTGGAAAAGTCAAAACTGTCCAACGACAGCGAGTCAGTGAGTTTCGGCTCAGTCCTCAGGTGAAACTTTGGCTGCTTCGGGGTCAAAACATTCCCAGCACCCCCAGTGTTGTGACGTCCACAGGCGTGAGGCTCAGTCTGTGATTTCCTGGGTAGATTCAAGGGCTGTGAATCAGTCACATGTAGAGATCAGCCTCTAATAAGAGTTTGCTTAAAAACATCGGCTGGTGAGCTCCAGTCACGAGTTATCCCATCAGCGGGTTCCCTCAACAACCTTCAGAAGACAGTACGTATGTCCTTTGAAGAGAATGTTTGCTTTAAGTTGCAGCAACTGACGGTCATCGGCTGTAATCAGCTCCTATCAACAATTGGTACAAGAAAATGTTGGCTTTATACGTTTCGGCAAACCCCAAATACGTTACACTTGAACGTTTCATATGCATCATGTCATCAACTCTAAAGAGATGATATATGTATATGAGCTGACTTGGATCGGGAGGTTTCTGCTACCTTCAGCTCCAACATTGCTGGATGTTCGATAAAATCTTTATTTTAGAATTGTCTGCATTTAGATGATGTCAAACGGGATACCCCAGATGAATGTGCTTTGACTCAGCATGTACTGTATTTTGACTGTTAGAAACACACTAAGGCCCCGATCACACAGAAAGACTTTTTGTAATAGCTTCTAAAGAGAATGAAGCTTTTTGCTCGCTGTTTTTGCGTCGCTACGTGCCTCGCGTTCCTGTGCTCCAGGCACCTGGCGTTTTTGCCGGAGTGCTCTGAACTCCTTGAGGTGGAAAAAACATCACTCAGAGTGACAAAGCACCCCAACGTCATCCCCGCTTTTTGCCCATTGTGTATTGTTACAGTTGGTAAACAATGGAGGAGAAACTGGTGGTGCTCAATCACTCGGCAGGACCACTGGACTCCCTGCAGTTAGTGTTCATTGTTGGTATGCAAGGCCCGATGATAGACAGCAGGTTGTCAAACTGTCCCTGAGTCGTCCTAAAATATGCCTGGAAACGTCCATGACGGAGGAGAAGCTCCTGGACCAACTGGTAAAAAAAATGAACAATAAAGGGAAGACAGTGAGGCACGCTTCGCATTTTGCAACCTGCAAAACACTTTCTGTGTGATCGGGGCCTAAAACTGCAATCTGAACGCTTCATCGTCCGAGGAAAACATCTCTTCATCAAGTCACAGGGTGGAGTTTCATTACTTTTGAGACACAACTGAAAAACAGAGCTTGTGCTTATACTATAGTCTGTAAATAAAGATGGACGACATGACAGCTCCCCAAAGTGAAGCCAAAACATCTGGATCGCCCCCTGGTGGCTGGCTGCAGTGCAGGACATGAACCCTGCCCCCTCCATGTTAGTTGATGAGACATGGGCCGAACTAAAAACTCAAAGTACACGTCAAATATATTTCCCCAAATATGATGTTATGACAGCTTTATTGGTAGATTAAAGCATGTCCTGTAGATGTGGGTGTGGTTTAGGCAGGTGGAAGGAGGCAGGGTCAGCACTGACGTCACACTTGGGGGCTGGTGGTAATGAGTGATGAGCTGCAAGACATTCAGAAGACAAAAGAGCCTGAGAAAGCGTTCGACACGCCACCGCGAATTATCCATGTGAATACACATTCACTCTGAACAACCACGAAGGAGAGAGAAGGGGTGTCCAGTGGAGTCGTCCAGTGCAAGCGAGCTGGTTGCAGTGAGCAAGAGCGGCGGTGGCCTGGCGGTGAGTCAACCACACACCTCCCCAGATAGGAGAGGACACATGGGGCCCTTAACACATGGGGAGAGGCACTAAGTTACGGGCTTAGTTGTTGTAATTGAGGTTTTGATGACAGCTGTGTGTACCAAGCAGTGGGCGGGATCTTGATACCAGCCGAGATCGCTACCGCGCAAACTCTGGCTCCAAATAACTTCACCAGTGCAAGATGGCAGCAGCTGTATCTGGGATATTTTGCCTTCATTTTGATATACCGGGGTAAGTGGAGACATGTCGTCCATCTTTATCTACACTCTGTGGCTGGTGCTAAATGTGACGGCACTGATTCTTTCAGCTGTATAAACTGAGTATGAATAAAAAGGTCAAACAGTTTTTCAGCAGGCGTGTGTGAAGTTACATTTTCCGCTTCCTTTCTAAACAGAGAGGTCGTCCGCTCTCGTTCGGCTGCTCGTCCCGCTGGTTTTGCTGAATCTTCGCTTGTCCTTCTGACAGAGCGCTCCGTTCGGGCAAAGCAGCAGCCCGTCCGGGGCGCCACTCTGGATCTGAGGGCAGCTGATCTCCCCGCTCACAGGGGTGTAGGAGTTAGCGTCTGTCCTCAGGTATCCGCCATCTTGGATCTGACTGTTACCGTTCTCCTGCCATCCGGGCGAGTAGCAGCTCATCTGGAGGAGGTTGACGTCCTCTGCTGCAGCGGCCATTTTGTGCTTCTCGGTGGCCATGTTCTCTGAGTTTTGCTGGTTAGCCAGGCGGTGGTTGGGGAAGGGGAGGGGCAGGAAGTGCGAGGAGCCAATCAAACACTGGTTGAAGTCTGGAGGAGGGTTTGAGGGTGGTGGAGGGGACAGAGAGAGCTGCCGGGCCAGTGAGGTGTTGGCAGGAGCGACGGCCTTCTCTCTGAAGAAGTAATGCCTGCAACAAAGAGATTTAACCAGTTAACAGATGCGATACAGTCTCATCATAAAGACCTGAATGTTTTGATGCATCAGATATTCACCGGTTCTTAACTTCCTGTTGAAACTAAAGGGACACTTCGCTGATTTTCATCCAGCTTTGTTTCATAACAATGTGAGTATTATGTGTAAATGAATGATGCTGAACTTCCCTCCATGTCGTCAGCAGCTACAGCTCCCTGTAAAAACCTCCCCAACCATAAACACTGATGAAATTCTAACCAGGAGAAGTTTCAGCTGGTTGCACTCTGCAATCCTCCGGCTAGAAGCCCTGAGTCACACAGCTGCAGCGAGGGCAGAGATAACCTGACTTTAACAGTAACAGTGTCTTTTTGTTAGACTCCTGCTGCCTAATAAACACCCAAAACTTTTGATCTGCTAGTTCTGAGCTTGTAACACAGACTTTCTTTTATAAGTGTGAATCCCCAAAGTCTGATCCAAGATAACCCTGATAACATCACCAGATGTGTCTCCTCAGACCGGCTGAATAGGGCTCTTCATTATGAGTAAATTGACTTTAATGTGTGAAATCAGTGGAGTTCCTCTTCCTCTAAAAACTGCCTAACCGTTATTACTGCAGTTATGAAAATAACTTATTCAAAATGCAAAATGCTCTCTGGCACAAGTCAAAGCTCTGCATTCAATATTTTAGTTATGTATAAAGAATTTACTTAGAAGAATCAAAAGTAAAAGTGCTCATTGTGCAGAATGGTTCATTTCAGATTTATGTTTGTTTGTATATTATTGGATTATGATTATTGATGCATTCATGTGTTCATCACTTTACTGATGCAGCTGGTTAAAGGGATAGTTCAGATATTTTGAAGTGGGGTTATATGTAGACTCACAAGTCAGTCTTTAGACGCTTTGCTTAACTAAAGACTGATGTCTTTCTCCCTGATTTTGTGTTTAGATGGGCGGATACAATTTCAGAGTTTAAAAAAAAATCCCTACGTTGCAGAACCAATAGTAAATCTGCAGGGCGGTCATTCGGTGGCTCGCTGAACTCTTGTGCTCGTAAACATAGTCCCACTGTGTTAAAAGTTTTGAACAAAGTCGCTGTAAGTCCTTCATTTCCACAATCTTGTGGACTGAGCACACGTTTGATAAAACGGAGTTAAATCTCTCGGCATCCATTTTCAAGCTCTCTGTGTGTTTGTGTCCTTGCAGATGAGAAAAGGGGGAGCGCACATTTCCGGGAGGGCGTGTCCTTTTAAAAAATGCAAGAGGTGTTGCTTTGTTGCCGGCCGTTTTCGCCGGTGTGTTGAACACACTTTAGAAAGGAGTGTCCCCAGACTATCAGAAGGTGGAGATCTCTGATGGTCTGGTGGTGAGACTAGATTATATGAGGTACAGTCAGTGTATTTCAGTAGATGGCAGTCGGCCCCGAGGTCGGAGAAGCAGCAAAAGGTATTACAGCAACCTAAAAAAGTCTCACTGTCACAGTGGGCACATCCGACCTGCCATACATGCCACTCTCTCAGTTCACCCAGTAAATTTCCACTCACCCTGCCTCTCCGCCACACCCACCTGCCAGACTACCACCTGTCCACACATCTCCTGCTCCTGCCGGTCTACCACACCCACCTCATCAAGGTAACGCCGCTCACCTGTGGCTCATCACGCCCTGACACTATTAAGACTCCAGCTTCACAGACTCTGTCATATCCATGCAAGACTTCCCAGCATTTCTCGTGGACTGCTTCCTTGTTGCTGACCTCGCCGGTCTCTGACTCTCCTGCTTCGTCTGCTCCCTGGTAAACCACTCAGCCTTCTGTTTCCTGTGGATGTGTAGACAGAGCTGTTCTGCTGCCTGTGATTTCCCGTGCTGTGGATTACCTCACTGTATGGCTGCACATTCTGCCTTTGTGGGATCCACTAATCATCATCGCTGGTTCCATAACTCCTCGCCAGTTCTGACTAACCTGCAGCCGGTCTTCTGCTGGTGTTGGACCTTCTGCTCGTCTGACACCGCCTCCTGTCTGCTCCCTCACGGTACTGCTGCACACTGTTGAACTGTTTGCTGTTTTTGAGTGTTCATCCGGCGTGCTACGCCAAAGTATTGGACTGAACTTGTGTCTCTGAGGTCCCCGAAGTTGTTGACCTGCTCATTCTATGATCAACAAGCTGTATAGTAAAGCATCATTACAAACTGTCCTGTCTGCCTCTGGTGCTGCGGTTGGGTTCAAACCACACCTGTGACTTAAAAAGCATTGGACTCAGTGGGTTTCTGTGACTAACAGTTTTTATCAGATGGCAGATTTTTACACTGCATATGAAAAATACAGACTTGACCTTTAAACTGATCCTGATGGGGTTTTTTAGGCTGACCTCGTCCTCCAGCCTGCTTCTCCGACATGCTTTGCTTTCTTACATATTAATTTTAATCCCCATTCAGTGATGCAGACAAGGATATCATTTTGTTTTGAAATTTTGAGTCTCAGACTTTTCATTTCCATTCTACCTCAAAGTTCTTCAGTATGAAGTTCACAGAGTGCTGAAGAGAAAAGAGTCTTTTTGGGGAGACGTTTGGTTCATTTACATCAAATTCAGCTTCTCACAAACATCTTTTCTTCAGGCCTTAAATGCTGCAGGGTTTATTTTATATTCACTCTTGTCACTTTCCTGTCAGGAGCCTCTAATTTAACCTGTGATCCAGCTAAATTCTTTATTTCCTCTTGATTCAGAAATAAAATTAAATTCACATTTTTTTAAAATTCAATCCACCGCCCAAGAAAACAATACAGTTTTTGTTTATGAGAAAACCTCTGTGATTTCATTGAATAGTCACGTACTTATGTTTCAAATGATCCTCTGAATAAGCTTTATATACTCATGAAGAATCCCAGAGAACAGACGCCTGCAGCGGCTGCAGCTTCGCGCTCCCCCTCTCCTTCTCTGCGCTCTTGGCACAAGGCGTATGAAGCACCAAACCGCATTTCACGTTTATTTAAATGAATTATCAGAGCTGTGGCGTGGAAGATCTGCACTTTATTTCGAGTGGAGCTTTGGTTTTTAAAGACATGTGGTAGTGGAAAACAATTCGCACTGGGCAGTCGGTGAACTGGAGTCAGCAGAGAGTTGTAACTTAACGGTGAGTTGTTGCCTAAATGAGTCCACCTGTATTAAGACGTTTCAATAGTTTAATCTCACAACAGTTACAAACAACACGAGGCTGAGGGCGAACACTATCGTTACCTGGAAGTCCATGAGGACAGGTCAGAGAGACGTGACGCTGCTCTGCAGGACGCCAAGTGTGTTAACTGTGGTGACGTTACTGAGGGGGGGGGGGGCAGGGGCTCTGCAGTCTGGCAGAATCATGCAAAGCCACCATCATGGTCCATTAAATTGTTCAAGAACACAAACACAAACTCAGAGTTCCCTCTGTACCTGCAGCAGTGTCTCCACGCCAGGTGATGCAGCTCCAGCACGCTGAGGACCAGAGAGACGGCCGACACGGCCATCATGAACACTATGAAGACGTTTTTCTCTGTGGGTCTGGAGACGTAACAGTTCACTGGATGTGGACACGGCCAGGCCTGAGACAGACACACAGAGTATGACAATAGGACCTGAATGTGATGTTTCAGACACACAGTGAACTCTGAATGATTTTGTTGTTTTGGTTTTACCTTGCAGACGTACAGAGGGTTGAGGAAGATTCCATACAGGAAGTACTGAAGGCTCAGAAACACCACCTGTAAGGACGTCCAGTCACAGTCAGCTGCGTCCATTCACTGCTGCCTCTTTTATTTACGTCCACTTTTATTTTGAAATACTGTTATCATGCAGTATGTCATGTATGCTACAAAATAAGATACAAGTACCTCCATGATGGTCCGTATCAGGATACTCAGTATGTAGGTCTGCAGCAGCGCCCCCCTCAGACGGACTCGACCCGCTGATGGACCGTCTCTTTTGTCCTTCCCTCCGTCCCTCTCTCCTCGTCCCCCGTGCTTCTCTCCTCTTTCACCTCCTCCTCCTCCTTCTTCACCTCCTCCCTGGTCCTCCTCTCTCCCTCCCCCCTCTCCCCCCTCCTCCTCTCTGCTCCTCCTCTTCTCCTCTCTGCGGACAGTGTGCATGGCGTGGCCCATGTAGATCAGACTGGGAGTGGACACAAACACGATCTGCAGCACCTGAGAGAGGAGGTCAGGGTCAAAGGTCAGGGTCAAAGGTTAGTGACGCTCAAAAGGTTTACAACAGTTTTACATGATGTAGAAAACAAACTACCACCACTGCTTCTTATTTTAAAACACACCATGGATATAAAGATTATTGTGGCCTCACTGCACACACATTTCTTGCAGATGCTTGGCACTACTTCGTGTTCTGTATGTTAATATTTCGGTCTTTCATGTTTCAGTTAGAGGAGGTTTGTTTAATATGAACTTTTGGTAATGCTTTGGTAATACTTCCCGGGGAAGTATGTGGTAAGTGACCGGGAGGAGTTATACCCTAACTCCCAGAGAAGTATATGCCAAGTGACCACGTCGTTATACGCTAACTCCCGGGAAAGTGGGCGGGAGGTACACTCTAAAACGCGGGCTGTCTTATGAAGTGTTACCAAACTTTTTTAGCTGTGTGGAAGCAGGGATGCTCTAACATCCAGCACATTTACTCAAGTACTGTACTTAAAGGATTACGTCACCCCCCCAAATGACTATTTGTATATCAGTTACTCGGCCTGTGTTACGTTGAATTTGTGAAAGGAAAACATTGTTTGTTCTCCCTGTGACCTCGTCACATGTCCACGTTTGGTCATGGACTTTCCACGTCCACATATGGCGTCCAAGGTACCCTGGGTGTGTTGGTTGTTGACGTTCTGGGACGCCGTGTCAACTTCAGCCTGTTACATGCATTGTCTGTTTTCAAAATACACTTCTGTTTTCACAGGAAATGTACAGTTTGCATACAGTCCCGTGAATTGATGTTTTTTTTTCCTTCAACAACAAAAGCACGTGGTTGGGTTTAGGACAAAAGAACAGGGTTTGGCTTTACAATCTTAAGGGTAGTGTAAGGCCCCCCGGGTGAAAGTCAGTGGTTGTTGGACCCATCCACCACCACTCCCACTCACCCTACTCAGGCCTCTGACACCTTAACTTTCAACTTTGTTGTCCCGTCACATTTCCCCCTGACACTGCCAGGCACAAAAATAACCCGGTCTCACTCCAAAGATGTCGAATACCAGTGCTTGGTCAGTGCCTTCTGGCGCCAGACCCCGATGACACACCCTGCAGCGTCTGGGGGGAAACGCAGCTGCACAAAAACAAAAGTTAAAGCGGCAGAATTCCAAGTAGGGTGGATGAGTCCAACAACCACCAACTTTCACCCAGGAGGCCGGTGTTCACTTCCTGTAAGATTGTAAAGCCAACCCCTGTTCTGTTTTCCTAAACCCAACCGTGTGTCATGCTGACGTGAAAGGACGGCTTTGATACTGGAAGTCACTGACCAAGGTCGGTTTTCGACAACTGTGGAGTCAGACCGATTGCTGGAAACAGACCTTTTGTAAAACTCTGTCCAGGGTGAACCTTTGTTTTCAGCGTTGATGTGTAGTCAGGAAAAACTGAGATTTTGTCTCCTAATGTCAGTGTGCACTGTTATCTCCTTCATGGCGTCACAGATGAGGTGACGTGCTAGCTCGTGCTGGCTCTTACCTTGCTAATATAACTATTTACAAGTTTACACAGAAATGTACCGATAATCTTCCACTCATGGATGCATTACTGAACAGTCCTACTGGGCACGGTCCCAGGGCCCTAAAGTGTCAGGGGCCCTTTTGCCTTCACCTGCAAAATTTCACTCAAACTTAACAAGTAATGACCACAGAGAGACTCAAACTGACCACCAAAAGACCACAAAGAAATGCCGAAGAAGTGCCAAGAGACACAAAATAACAATGTTATGGAAAGCGAACACCAACGTTCTGGGTGAAAGTCAGTGATTGTTGGACTCATCCACCTACTCAGACTTGCACTGAACACAGGAGCTGCTGAGGGTTGGACCATGAACCAAGTTTAGTGGCTTAGTGAGGTATGTTGAGACTAAAGTCGTCCTATGAAGGTCTTTTAACTTGGCTAGATGACCATGCTAACTTATGCTGCAGACCTGACCTGGTCGGGACCTGTTTTGGTCTCAGCTCAAACAGATCGTCTAAGGCTGAAAAATAACTTAATTTTATAAGTGATAAAAATAGGACCCAGCTGCTGCAGGTAAAGAACAACAGCTGCAAGGAAAGAAACAATCTGAAACACTACAACCTTTTAAATCACCTGGTTTAAATCTTATTTATCTGATCGTTTTCAGTTTGTTGACGTTCTTAATGAATCATCCTTACGTACCAAAGTTTGTTTTGGAGTTCCGCAAGGTTCTGTGCTCGGACCAATCCTATTTACTCTATATATGCTTCCTTTAGGTAACATCATTAGAAATCACTCTATAAATTTCCATTGTTATGCGGATGATACACAGTTGTATTTATCGATGAAGCCAGAAGAAAGTAATCAATTAACTAACTCCATAACTGCCTTAAAGACATAAAAACTTGGATGAGCACCAATTTCCTGATGTTAAATTCAGACAAAACTGAAGTTATTGTTCTTGGCCCCAAACAACTCAGAGACTCTTTATCTGATGACATAGTTTCTCCAGATGGCATTGCTCTGGCCTCTAGCACTACCGTAAGAAACCTCGGAGTAACATTTGATCAAGATTTGTCTTTTAATTCTCATTTAAAACAAACCTCACGGACTGCATTTTTTCCTGATCAGCTGTGAGGGTCATAAGGACAGAGGGATGTCGTATGCTGTAAAGCCCTGTGAGGCAAATTGTGATTTGTGATATTGGGCTTTATAAATAAAATTGAAATTGAAACTGAGCTGATATCACACCCAAATATGAGGAGCTATTATTTCACTTTGATCCATCACATCACGTGACATCAGGTTGTACATTACCCAGTATCGTATGTGCGCTATGGGGAAAGCTCGGTCATAACAAACGTTCTCGCAGCCCGGCTGCTCAGTGTCACAGTTAAAGTCTTCCTGTTCGTCTCCCCACGACGACTCAGCAGCCGTCCCGAGCACCAGGATACGGAAGATAAACAGGATGGTCAGCCACACCTGAGGAGCCAAGAACAACAGAGACACACATATCAAACCCTCAGACACAATGACATGGAAATGTATGAAGATATTGTGAGTAAATAATGACAATATTCAGTCGTTGATGCGTTAGCTTTGGTAATAAGATTTGAAAATATAAAAGTCTTTGCAGGAAGATGAAAGATGTTCAGTTTTCTGTCTCAGCTTCAGATGTTTCGTGGAGAGATTAATCAGGAAGCATGGAGCAAAATATTAATTTAAGATTAAATGAATATCTATTCATGTTATTTTAGATTATTCAGACTTCATGACTTCCTCAGAGGTTGGACAAACAGACCTATAGTGACATAAACTTTACATGTGCTCATTATTAAAAGATTCCCAGACAGAAACTTCCAGGAAACAAAGCACAAACAGGATGATTTGGAAATATATGTATGTTTGATTTTGTGTATATGCAGAGGAAGTCGCCCTGCCCTGCCTGGCATGCAATGTATGCAATGTGTGTGTGTGTGTGTGTGTTTGTGTGTCATAACCTTGCCAACAGAGGTAGAGTGCTCCTGGACTTCCTCCAGGAAGTTTCCCAGCAGGCTCCAGTCTGCCATGACCGCTTACAGCTCAGCGAAGACTTCTCAACTCACCGGTCGATTCTCTCTCAGCAGTCACTCTGCAGGTACGAGATTCACCTGAGGAACAGAGAGCACACACACACACAGGTGTCATGTCTGCAGCAGGGTGAAGTGGGTCTCTGTCCAGTTATTGAATCTTCTTAAGCTTAAAATGTGTTTCCCAAAAACTGAGAGCATTTATGAAGCTGCAGAAGGAACCACAAACTACCTTTTCAACTGAAGCTTTTGTTCAGTTTTAGATTTTTTAAGACGTTTGTCATGAATGCTGACGGTCTCTGTTTGGAGACGTCTCCTGTAAAATTAGTGATAATGTTTAAAGAGAAAATAAGTAGATTAAACTTAAGTTTTAGACGCCACAGCTGCCAAAAGAGAGGCCTAACTTTCTGTTTTACAACCGGGCGTGACACACACATACAGTGTCTGTCTGGCTGAGGCTCTGTCTCGACTCTAGGCAGGAGATCCACGTCGATTCTTGGCACTAAACCGGGAAAGATATGGTGAAGTTTACTGGGAGGAAGGGTACCTTCAACAAAGCCTTTCCCTCTGGAATGGGCGAAAATATATTTGAGTTCTGGCACGACCAAGGTCTCAGGATTACTATCGATCTGTTCAAGGCTCAGATCAGTCGAACAACTTGAAGCCAAATTTTGCAAACCATCTTAACATGTATATGGTTTTCTCCACATTATACACTTTACCAACAATCTAAATGTTCCTGACGCTCAGTCAGCGGCCTCAACTATTGATTCAATTTACTAATATTTCATCGTAATAAAAGTTTCATATCCTACTTCTGTGGAAAATCACAAACACTAAACACATTCAGCATTGACAGACTTAAGCACTGAAGCATCACGTGGGCCGTGACCTCCAGCATCAGACAGTGAGAAAAAAAGCTGCTGTTTCACATTGGCATGATGCGCAGCTGGTCACCGGTTTCCTTTGACGGCGCCTGGCGCCAGTGATTTTGTGATGATTTTGTGTCTCTTTGCAGCTCCTTTGCATTTCTTTGGGGTCTTTTTGAGTCTCTCCCTGGTATTTTGAGTCTTTCTGGTCTTTACACATTGAGTTTGGGTGACATTTTGCAGGTGAAGGCCGAGGGGCCCCTGACACTTTACATCCCCCGGGCCTGTGTCCAGTAGGCCTGTTCAGTGATCCATCCATGAGCAGAAGATTACCTGAACATTTCTGTACAAGCATGTAAATAGTGTTTGTTAGCACTTAGGTGAGAACCAGCACTATTTTGTGCCCCCTGCTATTACATGATGTCGCCTCATTTGTGACGCCACACAGGAGATGACAGTGCACACTCTGATATTTGGAGCCAAAATCGTAGTTTTCCCGCCGGAAACAGTTTCTGAAAATGTTCATCCTGGACAGAGTTTTACAAAAGGATCGTTTTCAGAGACCTAAAATGTAGTTTGTGTGGACAAAAGGCTGAAACACATAGAAAAAGCTATTTTTTAAATCATTGTTTTGTGTTGTTTTCAATGCTGCTGCTGTGACAGTTAGATCAGTTACATGAAAGTGTGTATTCAGTATGGTCTTCATCACCACAGACAGACCAACATTAAAGACCTCTTTTAACAGTTTGCACCTGCTCTGAAGTGCTGCTTTGGGAAACTTGTAAAAAATCTGAGTGTCATGGAAAACACTGTCTTTTAGAGACTTTTTTGGGGCTTTCTTGCTTTTATTTGATAGGACAGTTATGGTGTGAAGGAGGGAGAGACCGGGGGAATGACGTGCAGGCCGACAGCTCAATTCCAACCCATGTCCCAAGGGGACATTGCCATTACACATGGGGCACCAGCTCCACCACATGAACTAGTGGGTGCCACTTTTAAATTGCAAGATTAATCACAATCAGAAAACAGGGCCAGATCTGTGTGGACCGATAATGACACTGTGATGTTCTTTAAATTATTACCTGAAATCGTCAGACATGCCAAATTTCCACATTGTTTTCTTTCATTTTTATTCCTCATTTTACCTTGTATTTTCTGTAATGATTTAACAGCACCTGACTGCTTATATATATATATATCTTAATATGTAATGACGAAAACTCTGTCAGTCAGTCATTCTGTCTGTCCCACGTTTTTCTACTCACTGACGTGGTCAATCTATGTGAAACTGCACATCGGCACTGAGGATTGGCATAGGTAGAAGGTGACAAAGCTACTTTTTCCAAAAATTACACTAATAGTATTCTTTTACAAAGTGGATGCATCTGTGTGTGTGTGTGTGTGTGTGTGTGTGTGTGTATTATCTTGACCCTGTGACCCTCCCTCCAGCCTGGCCATGGCCCCATTAATAATAAGCCTGTGTCCATGTCTTAGTTTAGCTTCACTCTCGGTTCCCACAGTCCCCTCCGTCTGTCTCTGGGGAAGGAAAACTAGACTTCTATTGTAAACACACACACACACACACACACACACACACACACACACACACACAGCCTGTCTCTCTCCCTGTTGACATGTACGAGTATGTTTATGCATTCACTGTGTTTTACATTTTTCTCTGTGAAATACAAACAGTATTCGGCCGGTAGCTTCTAGAAACTTCAACGTTCATTACACCCGACAATATTAAAGTTTGATTAAAAAAACATCATTACTATTTCTGTCCTGGGACTAAGTGCTTGCTGATGACTCAGTAAAATTTAAATTGTTCCTCTCTTTGGGAACGTGATTGTGCTCAGTGCATTTCATGGTAATCTGACTGCTGTGTTTGGTATTTATGACGTCGTAAGAGTAAATGATCTCAGAGCTAAAGACATTTTGTTGCCCACTCTTCTGTTGCTCTTAGATATGGCGTCCAGATCAACCTGCAGAGTGGGAGCCAGAATATGACTGGAAAAATGCAGCTGAGTTGTCCATCTAAATCACTGACTTTATCTACTGGCTCTAGTGTTGATGACAGAATGTAATTTCCATGACACTCATGAAGTGCTGCCAACTGTCATGCAACCAGACAGTTTTAGATTTGCGACTACATGCAACGCTCCATTCTGCAACATTCTAAAAAGCTGCTGGTTGACAGGAAGTGACCGCCATGAGACGGTGTATCGTCTCTAGTCAACGACTCTCTGTGCTTCTGATCCGTAACGTCGACAGGAAGTGACCACCATGAGACGGCGTATCATCTCTAGTCAACAACTCTCTGTGCTTCTGATCTGTAACGTTGACAGGAAGTGACCACCATGAGACGGCGTATCATCTCTAGTCAACAACTCTCTGTGCTTCTGATCTGTAACGTTGACAGGAAGTGACCACCATGAGACGGCGTATCATCTCTAGTCAACAACTCTCTGTGCTTCTGATCTGTAACGTTGACAGGAAGTGACCACCATGAGACGGCGTATCATCTCTAGTCAACAACTCTCTGTGCTTCTGATCTGTAACGTTGACAGGAAGTGACCACCATGAGACGGCGTATCATCTCTAGTCAACAACTCTCTGTGCTTCTGATCTGTAACGTTGACAGGAAGTGACCACCATGAGACGGCGTATCATCTCTAGTCAACAACTCTCTGTGCTTCTGATCTGTAACGTTGACAGGAAGTGACCACCATGAGACGGCGTATCATCTCTAGTCAACAACTCTCTGTGCTTCTGATCTGTAACGTTGACAGGAAGTGACCACCATGAGACGGCGTATCATCTCTAGTCAACAACTCTCTGTGCTTCTGATCTGTAACGTTGACAGGAAGTGACCACCATGAGACGGTGCATCATCTCTAGTCAACAACTCTCTGTGCTTCTGATCTGTAACGCTGACAGGAAGTGACCACCATGAGACGGTGCATCATCTCTAGTCAACGACTCTCTGTGCTTCTGATCTGTAACGTTGACAGGAAGTGACCACCATGAGACGGTGCATCATCTCTAGTCAACAACTCTCTGTGCTTCTGATCCGTAACGTCGACAGGAAGTGACCGCCATGAGACGGCGTATCATCTCTAGTCAGCGACTCTCTGCGCTTCTAGTCCGTAACGTTGACAGGAAGTGACCACCATGAGACGGCGCATCATCTCTAGTCAACGACTCTCAGTGGTTAAGTTTAGAAATAAACATCATGGTTTGGCTGAAAAAAGGTACTGTTGTTACTCACGTCATGTAACGTAAAGTGACATACGGCACTACCGTAGCATGCAGCACGTACTAGGACACTACGTTGTTATTAAGTTAACTCCATTGCCTTTTGGTTTCACATAGGAAACAAACAGCGGGCTCCCGATTTAAAGACTTTGTTTGACATATCCATGTCCCCTCCCGCCTGCCCTTTATGACTCTTTATAGTGCGGCAGTAGCAGACGGTATCACAAACTGCCGCCTGGTGTGTTTCATACCGCTGCAAAACTGCCTCTGTGCGTCAATATCTGACGCTGAGATCACTGACAAAGTTGTGGTCTTTGACAAGTTGGGAGTCAGACTGGCTGGAGTTGTGTGTGTCTGATACTTCCACATCGTCTCCCTCATTAAAAAAAGTCCAGAACTCATGAATATGTTCAACTGCTGCACACAACACGTCTGCTACATGACTGGAAAGTCAATGATCGTGCTTGTACGTGCACACTTCATTCTGCACAGAGACGATAAAACAATAAACAGATTGCAACCAGCTAAATCTTCTCCTTGTTAGATTTCCTTCAGTGTTCATCGTTCAGGAGGTTTTTACTGGGAGCCTAATTATCAGCAGAGGTCTCTTCCTCTCAAAAACAAACAGAGCAGGTGATTAAAACTGGTAATAACACTGAATAAAGTAGTTCCACGTTACATATCAGTGTTTCTCCTACACCGTTTGGCACTTGAAGATGGCTGAGAACGTGTGCTCACCTTTTTTCTCTGATAACTGAAGACCTGGATGTTAAAGAGGTTTTTACAGTGAGCTGAATTATCCACAGAGGTGTCTCCCTCACCAAAACAAATGGATCAGGGGCCAGTTGCACAAAACACCTTAAGATTTTCCTT